TTGGTTGGCAGACATTCTAGTAAAAAAAAACAAAAAAAAAACTGTATTCAAAGCTGATATAATGAATATGCATACACCTGGGTTCCCCCTCACAGTAATATGAGTGGCTGGTGTCAGCCACAAATACAGACTGATGTGGAGGTACAGGGACGACGCCTATTGACTACGTCTATTGCCTACCACTACGACGAGGATCAGTCCATTACGGTTACCTACTCGGTTACAGTAATCAACAACTAATTTGCTACTTCGAACAAATATATCCCTTTCCGGGACATATCAAAAGCTGTAACGGGAATGTAGTTCATTGTTTTCCACAGCAACAATCACAGTAATGTACAATTCTTCTTCTCTGTGCCGTCTCTTTTCAAGGTATGAGAAATTATGCCTCTCCACAACTTCCTGTCCCTCATAGCTCTAAGTAATGTTTGTTCTCACGCTGTCATCCCGTCTTCCTCTCCTGCCTTCAGTCTATCCTGTGAGTGTTAAATTCTCCACGTCTTCTTTCTTCAACTTTATAATTTTTAGTAAAAATATCCTTTTATTTCCCATTTTCTTTCTTTTTGCTTACCTGTTCAGTTCATTGTATTCTAGGCATCTCTCTAAAGAAGCACATCTTAGTCGCTTCAAGTCTCTTTTTCAGACGTAAGAAAATTGCCCAGCATTCACTGCGATACAGGAGAATATAAACGACTTAAAATTCAACACTTTTTTATTTCCGAATTTTTCACGGATATTAGCAAGAAAAGTAAACTGGAAAAGCGTGATCACCTACGTGCTGAATAAACATGACGTTTCAGCAGGAGGAAGTAATACAGAGAAAGTCTTGTTTGAAAAGTGAGCAAAAAGTTGGAAGAAAGATTTGAGAAGATGGCGGCGATAACACAACAGACAAAATACTGAGTGAAGGAAGAAAGAGTTCAGAACGAGGCTAGTATTGATAAGAGATGAAGTACAGATGACGGAAACGTTGGTACAAGAAAGAAAACAAAGAGAAGAAAAAGTCGATCGGACAAAGAAAAGTATGAAGATAAAATGAATGAGATAAAGAAAGGTAGACAAATTATGATAACTGCAGGCGTGGTCAGCAATTGGACTGGCAGAAAAATGGACAGGAAAAGAGAAAAAAAAAAGGAAAACAAAAGCGATAAACAACAATGAGATAAGCTGCGGGTGGACTGATATATAAAAATGGCGGCGACATGACGTCTGAGAAGTCAGATAATGAACGTGGAAAAGAAAGATGATATGAGAAAGGAAGAGGAGGAAGTAAGTAAACAGAAAGAAAGAAGATAAAAAGTGTACGAAAAAAGGTGCGAAAGTGAAAAAGAAGAGGCAGAGATAGAAAGAGAGAAAAGGAAAAAAATAATTGACAAAGAAAAATGGAGAAGAAAACGGAAAATAGGAAGAAGCAAATCAAGAATGAAAGTAAGAACAGGTTTACTAAAAATAGAAATAACTGAAGAAAGAAAGAATAAAAGAAAGAAAGAAAGAAAGAAAGAACAATTTAATTAAAATATGTATAACTGAAGAAAGAAAGAAAAAAGAAAGAAAGAAAGAAAGAGTAAAAAGAAAGGAAGAACAGTTTCATTAAAGTAGAAATAACTGACGAAAGAAAGCAAAAAAGAAAGAAAGAAAGCAAAAAAGAAAGAAAGAAAGCAAAAAAGAACAATTAAATTAAAATAAGTATAACTGAAGAAAGAAAGAAAGAAAGAAAGAAAGAAAGGAAGAGTAAAAAAAAGGAAGAACTGTTCAATTAAAGTAGGAATAACTGAAGAAAGAAGGAAATAAAAAAGAAAGAAAGAAAGAACAGTTTTATTAAAAGTATAAATAACTAAAGAAAGGATTTAAAGAAAGAAAGAAATAAAGAAAGAAGGAAATCAAGAAAGTACAGTTTAATTAAAAATAGGAATAAATGAAAAAAGAAACAAAGAAAAAATTTCTTTACTAAAATTATATCTGAAGAAAGAAAGAAAGAAAGAAAGAAGAAAGAAAGAAAGAAAGAAAGAAAGAAAGAAAGAAAAAGAAAGAAAGAAAGACAAAAGATCATTTTAATTAAAAAATAAGAATAACTGGTGAAAAGAGTTAAAGAAAGAAAGAAAAGAAAAAGAAATATGAGTAAAAGAAAGAAAGAATGAAAAAATGAATAAACAGTTTTTACAAAAAGTCTTTAGAAAATAATAAACTTGAAGAAAAATAAATTATAGAATGTTTGAAGGAAGAATTAATTACGATAAGAATACGATGAATTCACAGAGAAAAAAGTTTTTTTTTGTTTGTTTTTTTGTTTTGTTTTTTGGGGTTTTTTTTGGGGGGGGTTGTTTAATGAATAGAAATAAATCCAAACAAATAAAGAACAAAAGGAAAAAGCTTAGGAAGAGAGAAGGGAGAAGAAAAGAAATCTTACGAAAATTGAAAAAAAGAATAAATTTCACTGAGTAAAAATGAATGAAAAATGAAGAGCTTTGAAAAATACAAAGAACGAATAATTAAATAAGAAGAAAAATGAATTTAACGGAAGAAAGAATAAATGAATGAACGAATGAATAAAAACTTTAAAGAAATATCACGTGAAACCAAAAATTTACAAACGATAAGTAAAAGAAAAGTAAGTGTAAAATCATATTTCAAACAGTCAAAGAGATTGGGCCATCTTGAAAAGTTCAAAACGAGGCTAGTATCAGCTGTGTGCTATTGGATACATCGTGAATATCTTTATGTTCTCTTCGATTTATATATGCTATCCATTTAAGTGGCTGCGCCTGTTGAAAGACCTCAAGTCATGTGGTTTCTGTTATCCAGTACTTTGCGATTGTATAGCACCAATCCACAAAGTTCATAGAAGGATGATTGACTCTACGACCGACAGATTTCACACGTTTAAATCTAATTTAATCATTGATCTGAGAGGGTGGGTGGATACAGATGACAATATACATACTTCTGAATGTGTTTGGCGAGCATCATGTATGACATCCATATGAAAGTCTCGAGAGCACCTCAACGTGGTGTAATGGTTAACAAGCTCGTCTCGCTAGATCAATTACGACTGAATAGTGAGTTCGATTCTTACCGGGTAACTCATACTTTGTGCAACATATAAGCTACGCTTAGAAAATCACCAAATGAAAGTATCGACCTCACGTGGCTCTTTAAGGACATGACTCGAGATTTTAGGTTTTGGCTTTGTAGCAATTTGAGGTATTGTGCGAAACTACCTCTAGCTATGTTCACTTTTCGGATAATTTGCAGTATAAGCACCAAAAGCCCCTGGTATTAAAAATTGCATGATTACTTCGAAAATGACGTTAAAACATTAAACGTTTTTGATTTATCATCAAAGTTTGATTTCTTCGCGTTGTCCGCCGGCCATTATTGGCGTTGTTTGCATACGTTTGCCTAAAGAAGTAATGCGCGGAAGCTTACTTAGTTAACGGCCTTTTTACAGCTTTTCATACATTACTGGTCTTGATTACTGCGCGATTTTCGCAGATGTTATTTTAAAATGCGCTTATTTTTTTAAATGAATAGTATTTTTTCTTTGTTGTCCTTAATAAATCTGCTTAAAAACAGAATCTCACCCTAAAATGCAATTTATGAAGCTTTAAATTCAAGAAACTTTCTCACATAAAAAAGAACCATTGTTGAAAAGAAGGAAAAAAATCCTTTTATTTGTTTTCCAGGCACATAATGTTTATTTTATTTTATTTTAATTGTTGGATTTTACTTTTTTTCGCGCATTATTTCATGCATTCATTGCGTGCATTCATTTCAAACTTCGTGCATTGCGCAGTAATCAAGACAAGTGAAGTTTCTGCGCCGCATGACTCCTCGAGGCAAACGTATGCAAACAAAGTCAGTAATGGCAGACGTTCTGTGTACGCGACGAGAAAGAAGTCGAACTTACATTGTCCATAACTTCTAAACGGTAATCGAGCGCAGTATTTTAATATAATTTTCGAAATAACCAGGCAATTTCACACCAGAATGGTAGATTCGCAATTCCAGGGGCTTTTGGTGCGTACAATGCAAATTAACCCACTTATCGTTTATATTAATTTTGTTTTTCGTTAGCATATATTCTACAGACGTATGGATCAGTTATAACAAAGTTAATGTAGGGAGTTGTTGTTCTTATCGTCAACGCGAAGGGTTCATTTGCTTCAATCGATCCTTAATAAATCTCCGTTTAATTATTCGACCATTGATTTTTTTAGAACGATCCACTCTTGTGTTTAGATCTAGCACTCAAGCAAACAAAACTTCGTTAACTTACCTGTGCAGCGCTTAAAATGGCAATTTGGGCATAGGACTCAGGGTCGAGGGAGAACAAAATCGAACGTCTCTAAGAAGGACAGTTCCATAATATATTTACTGCAAAACAATAGAGTAAATAAGAAAACAAAGCAAACGAAAGCCGGTAGTGAATTAAGAAAAACTCGGGAAATACCCCAAAAAAGAATCAAAAACAATAACGAAGTCTTCGAAATAGAAAGGTTCAGATGTCAAAAAACTCAACGGTAAAATCTGAAAGTTCGGTTTACATTTCTTGGGGACATTCCGAATCGAAGGAAAACAAGGATAGAAAGGCGGAATATGGAAGCAGTATCTGGAAAATGCTTTTCAAGGCAAACGAACCGGTCAAAAGATAATTGGGTCTTGAAGAAAATTGGTGGAAATAAGACGCTGGAGATTGCAAAGGAGAAATGCAGACGATAAAGTCGTGAAAGATTTGACGGCGGATAGAAAAGGTCAGTAGCTGACAAGAATGAAAAATGGGCAAGTTGGGAGAAACGAGAAAGAAAGAAAGAAAGAAAGAAAGAAAGAAATAAAGAAAAAGAAGATAATGATAAACGAAAAGCCAGCACAAAGAAAGACTAGAGTAATAAAATCTAATTTGATAAAGAAAGAAAGAAGAAAGAATGAATGAAAAATTGATTGAAAAAGAAGGTATTGACAAAATGAAGGTTCGCCAGTAAGAAAGAATAGAGTAAGAAAATTTAATTGGCAGAAAGAAAGAAAGAAAGAAAAAATGAAAAAATGATTGAAAAAGAAGGTATTGACAAAATGAAAGTTCCCCAGTAAGAAAGAATAGAGTAAGAAAATTTAATTTGAAGAAAGAAAGAAAGAAAGAAAGAAGAAAAAATTAATGAAAAATTGATTGAAAAAGAAGGTATTGACAAAATGAAGGTTCGCCAGGAAGAAAGAATAGAGTAAGAAAATTTAATTTGAAGGAAGGAAGAAAAAAGAAAGAAAGAACGAACGAAAGAAAGAATGAAAAATGAGTGAAGAAAAAGAAGGTATTGACAAAATGAAAGTCCACCAGAAGAAAGAATGTAGTAATGAAATTTAATTTGAAGAAAGAAAGCAAAAAGAAAAAAAAGAAGGAATAAAAAATGAAAGAAAAAAGAAGCAAACTGACAAAATCGAGGTCCACCATTTGAAGAAAGAAAGACCTTACTAAAATGAATGAACAAGAAGGATGGAGGGCAGTGAAGTAAGAAAAACTAATTGGAACAGAGAACAAACGAAACAATAAAAAGGAAAAGAAAAATAACTAAATTTAAATAATATCAGAAAAATGTAAATCACAAAAAGAGAAAAGTTACAAAGAAATTTAGACATAAAAACAGAAAAAAACGAAAGTTAATGGAGTTGAATTTGTGAGTGTCTCATTTTCAAGAGCTTAAACGTCTGTATCAGTCATGTCCACACATGACTGATACAGACGTTAAAGATCATTTTGCGTGTGTCTACGGCGTCTCTTCGTCGTGTAAGAAAGATCTAAAGACAAAAAGAGACAAGCAATCTTAATGAAAAGGCAAGGAAAAAAGACGACAAAAAGATATGTAAAAGTGAATGATAAGAGACGGAGAAAAGAGAAACAAAAGAAAACTTATTGAAAGAAAACAATAAAGAGAATAGTGAGAATGAAAGGAAGAAATGAGAAAGTAAAATTCAAAAGACGAGAGAAAAGTCTGATATCGTCGCCATCATTAAGATACGTTTATCCTTCATTGCCTCCAATATTATCGAAACAAATAATTGCCAACGAATTGGGATTTAATCGGGAAGAAAAACAGAAAAAATAGAAAGGGAAGCGTGAAAAATTTTTTTAAAAAATGAAAAATTGAATGAAATATAGAAGAAAAAACTACTAAAATGAAAGAGAAATTTTCAGAGAAGAAGAAGAAGAAGAAGAAGAAGTTAGGGGATTCTGTAAAGAAAAAAAATTTAAGAAAACATTCGAAATATAGAATATGTTGATAAGTGAACTGCGATAAGTCACATATTTTCCGAAAAGTTTCAAATCACATTCTATGATCGATTGCCATTAGGCGCGCTGGGAGGAAAAAGATGCCATCACCTGTACAAAGTCATGGAGATGTTGAAGGCGACGGTGTCGGACAAAATGGAAAGTCTGCAGAGACGCAATGATCCAATACCACTGGTAAACGTCGCCAGTTCATCAGTTCGTATCGCACAATAGGCGTCATTTATTTAACCAGTTACCTCCCTTGATCTCACCATCTTTTTGTTTGCGTGTTTAGCAGCCTATCAACTCCTTATGGGTCATTTAATGTCAAAATTTAATGTCCTTGGGAGCATTTGTAATTGCTTTTACAAAAATGTATTGCTGGTACTTTTCAAAAGTATTTTTTTGTTTTACAAAAAATGTGTGACTCGTAAATTCCTGTTACTATAAAAATCTATTGCAGTTTTTTTTTTATTATACATTAAAATGTATTTTCTTACATTCATAGTATTTTGACCCAAGTTTGAAGTTTAACAATTTACCCATACTTAGGTCTCCTAACAGGTGCTACCACCTCTGGTCAGGCTGGACCTGCGAACAACAGCAATTAAGAGGTGGCTTCACGCTTCTCAAAATTTCCAATCTTTCGATCATCAATCTTCCGATAACATCTTCATTTAAGGCCCAATGCTGGAAATGACGCGAGAATGGATAATCAAACAACGAAAAATACTGTCTCTTTGATTTTATTAGAAAAACGTACTGGAGCTTTAAAGTTATCACGCTAATTACTAAAATGTTGCATATATTTGTATGTTTGTACACATCTATAAATAATCTATGCAGTCTTTCATTATATATAGAGAGAGAGTGTCCGTCTACGAAACTCGAAACAGGATGTTGAAGATAACAACAATCAGGTAAGTAAATTTTATAATTTTATCAGCTAAGTTTATTCTATATTTGTATTAATCCTATATATATATATGTGTGTGTGTGTGTGTGTGTGTGTGTGTGTGTGTGTGTGTGTGTGTGTGCGTGCGTGCGTGCGTGAGAGTGTGTGTGTGCGTTTAAAACTAAGAAACAAACTAAAAATAAATCAATGGAAAAGCACAAAAGAAACAATTGGTTTAACAACTTCAAGAACAAAGAAGAATGAACCTTTGTACAAATGGGCATTAAAAAAAACTTCTGTCCTTTCATCAAAGAACATACACTAAATAATGCACTAAATCTCTCAAAATAACGCATAAGCATCGCAGACGATGACTTAGACATCATCAAACACTGTAGAAAGTCTTTACTATACCACAAAAATAAAATATGGTTGAAAAAGGCAACACTAATAACAACGAAAATAACGATAATAAATTTGACGTAACAATGGGCGGATACGACGGCGTTGAAAGGGGAATTAATAGGCATATATATCGTCAATAAACTAGTAAATATTATCAACAAAGAAAATATGGCATATACAGAGACGACAGACTAATAATCCTAAGGAAATATTATGGCAGAACCACGGAAAAATTAAGAAAACAAGTCAGAGAAAACTTCAACTCACTACGATTCACAATAGATATAAAATCAAATCTAAAAGTAATAAATTTCTTAGATTCAATCTAAATAACAATACATATAAACCACACAGAAAAGCAAACAACAACCTCATATATACCAACAAAAACTCCAACCTCCAACCAAACACATTTAAACACATACTGGTATCCATAAAATATATCAGCGAACTTCAGCAGCATTAAAATATTCAAAACAAAGAAATATACGAATCAGCACTAAGAAACAGTGACTATTCCAACAAACTGGAAAACGCAAACAAAAACAAACCGAACAAAAACAGAAGAAGAAGAAACATCATCTGGTTTAACCCACCCTATAATAATACAATAAAACAAAAACAGGAAAAATATTCTTCAATGTAATCGAAAGATAATTCCGCAAACATAACAAGCTATCAAAAATCATAAATAAAAACACAGTCAAAATTAGTTACGGGTCCTTGGACAACATGGAGAAAATAATAACCAAACACAAAAAAATACTCAACAAAGCCAATGACAACAGCACAAAACATCAATAAATGCAACTGTTAGAACAAAGACAACTACCCACTTAACGATAAATGTTTGATCAACAATATAATATAAAAACCCATCCTAACAAACAACATCAACACAGACGAAAAAAACTTACATATGAGTTACAGAAACAACCTTCAACGAAAGATTTAACTATCACAAGACATCATTAAAAACAGAAAGATACAAAAACAACACCACACTCTCAAAATATATGGAGTAAAAACGAAAATAACATAATTACCAAAATTAAATGGAAAATTATAAAAAGTGCACCCTCGCACAATATCAATAGCAGAAACTGCAAACCATGCCTAGAAGAGAATTTAGCAATAGTTACCTTTAAAAAAACAAAGCAAACTATCAAACAAGCAAAACGAAGTGATGGGAAAATGTAGACATTCAAATAAATACCTACGATGTTATTCAAATACCGATACAAAGAAAGACCTACAGCATATATTTAATCACGGTCAAACAAATTCCAGATGAAAAAATCAGCATACACACACACACACACACACACAAGCAGAAATACTTAGACACACACACTAACACTCACACACACACATTTAAATACACGCATGCACACAAACCTAAATGCGATGTCAAAAAACAAGCGGAGATATATATCAATATGATAAAAGAGGTCAATTCAATATAACAAAAAGATTCAATCCTATAAAAAGGAATTAAGCAAATACGGTCAAAACGAAGGTTAGCACAATACAAAGCAACTCAATATCCAAGACACCCCACACTACTTCAGTGATAACACCGATTAAGTAAAAAATTACACACCCATAAAAGATATCAAATTACACCAAACCATTCTTAAATACGACAAAATTGAGAAGTAGCAGCAGAGAAGCCAAAAGCCCTGAAGAGTGAAAGCATTACTGCAATGCCGTTACGTAACTTTGGAGTCGGCATGACTGAACCAACAACACTCAGTTAAGCTTATCCACATTAATTCTATTAACAATCTATCTTTACCTTTGATATCGAATACTTTATGACAAAAGACTGCCTGCACCAGTAAAACACGGAAAAAGAAAAGCAGTTTTGGCACCGAAAATCTCGTACAACTTAATACTATATATATATATATATATATATATATATATATATATATATATATATATATTATAATAAAAAGAAAGAACAGTAAGATATATAATTGGTGTTCTTATTGATAGTTTTTATTTTTACAAAACAGTGCTCAATGTAAATTTACAGAGCATTAACATGAAATTATGGCTTTATATGTGCGTTTAAAACTAAGTAAATTTAAAAATAAGTTATTCCAAAATTCACTTAAAGATGAAACTGAGCTAATGCTTTTAATTTAATTATATAATTAAATTTGAAGTTTTTACCTTTGTTTTTTAAACATGGTTACTACTGTGTAGAAGAAAAAGAAACCATATTTTAAATCAGTTAATATATATATATATAATCCTGAAATATATATATATATATATATATATATATATATATATATATATATATATATATATATATATATAATTTCAGGATTATCTTAAAACTTATTTAAGATGGTCATTGCCCTCTTTAAACTTCTAAGTTTCTGTTCTGTAGCAATGATGCAGTAGGTCGAAACATGTGTCAAAAATGGTCTGCGAAGTTTCAAAAGAAGATTATTTAAGGAAATTAATATCACGTATATCAATTTTCATTGGCCTTAACATAGTTTGTCATATGTGTCGTTCCTGCTGAAGTGCATTTCCAACAATCTATGCTCACATCCATTGTGTCATCTCTGCAAATATTCCGCAAGCCTCTCTGAATATCAATGATATCATTTCCGGCATACAGAATTTCACATCATAAAGATCACAGTTACAATAAGGATGATCTTGCTGGGAGTCGGAAGACGAATTTCATCTTAAGATATTTTCGATGTAATATCCTAAAATGTTCATTTTGGTAAAAATTTATTTCATGAATATCGAAGATATTCACTCGTCAGACCAAAGTCTCATTAATTGGAGACGATACACCAGACGGATATATTAGATTGACGGTGGGGAGAGAAGATATGAGAAAAGTATAAGAAGGAGAAAAATGACGTATGGTCAGGCACTTTTAAACAGATGAGATACAGGGAGGGGAGAAAGAAAGGATGGATGGGTAGTAGTAAGCTTAAATAGACTGACCCAACCAAGAATTTTTTCCTTTAACGTTTGGAACTTGGTACATTGAGTTATACAGCAAATTGACCGATATGGCACGTTGTTTTAGGCAGAACAACTCAACCTAATTACAAATTAACCTAATAAAATGGTCCTTAATAGAAATAATAAAGAGAAACTACAATAATAATAATAATATCAAATTTTAAATACAGAGAAATAAAACAATAAATAAAACAAATAAATTTAGAAAGTTAAAAGTAAAACTAAAACAAAAAATAAAAGGACTGAGTAAGCGAATTTATGGATAATAATTAAAAAATGTTAATTTAGAAATACAGTGTAACCCGGATATAAGAGACCCGGATATAAGAGAAACCCGGATATAAGAGAGATTTTCTCTGGTCCCAAATTAGAGCCATACTTACCTAAACAAAATAGACCAAACCCGGATATAAGAGAAACCCGGATATAAGAGACTTCTTCTCCGGTCCCGACAACTCTCTTATAACCGGGTTACACTGTATATGTGGGCTAGACATCGGCAAGACAGTCATTGATCCAACTACAACATATGATGAAACACGCAAAAAGCACAGTCATGTGATACGCAATATCAACACACACACACACACACATACATACACATACATACATATATATATATGCTCGTGGCACAATGGATAAAGGCGTTAGTTAGATCCAGTGACAAGACACAAAGGGTGTGAGTTCAATACCCGGTTAAGGCAGTGAAGAACTTGGTGTGGTGTGATGTGGTGTGGTGCGGGGGAATTAACAAGAGATAACTGACAACTGACATCCATTAAACATGGCACGTGGAACTAGAACACTCTACATCAGTGAGCGAAATAAAGGGTTCAGTTCGACATTCCAACCACCTGAAGAAGGCCGAAACGTTGTAAATAATGGCGACAAAGATGAGGTCATTTCTACGTCTATCTACCAGAGACAAAATAAAGATGAAATGGCAGTCGAAAGAATCAATTGCCAAAAAACCTAGTGTGTGTTTTCAGAAAGAGCAAACTAAACGTAATTCTAGAATCATCTTAAAGAATTTGAAATCAGTTTGCTAAGATCATTTTGTGCCAAGTGGTTTTTCTAGTGAAACTCATATACTGGATGTAATAGCAGAATTGTTCATATCATGTAACAGCATCACACAAAATGTTTTATATCTTAAAAAACACTAAACGAATTCAGTTTCTTTTTTCTAATTTATTCAGATAAGACGTTTAGCCATCTTGACACCATTGTCGTAAGAATAACTGAAAATCCATTTGAGTTATTCAGATAGAAAGAGAACAGGTTAAAATCGTTTTATGCCAGCCTCTCTGTCTTCTCAACTGATAAGGGGGAAAATTATTCAGGCCTTCAGTAATGGTAGCAACATGCCTTTAGCGTCTTTATTTAAGTGCCAACAAGAACGACATAAGTCTGAGTTAAAATACATTTTCAAAATAGAATCACATATTAAAGGTTTTAAAAAAGATTTAGACTTACTCAGAGAATACAGTTTCCACAAGAAGCCTTCTACAAACTTTCCACAACCCTAAGCGTGGTAAACTTCTAGACCAAAACTATCAAATGTCTTACAGTAATATAATACATAGAGAAAAAAGGACAACAACAAAATTCTCCGGAAGTGTGAGTCCCACTTCCTTGTTGTCTATCCTACATATATTTATAATCACTTTATCATAATAATATATTCATATACATATACCATATACTCATTATAGTACAGCTTGCCACTCGTATTTGGACACCCGTATTCCTGTTGCTTGCTCAGGTGAATTTGTGTTTGTTCAACACCCACAGAACCAACCTGTGGTTTATACTGCAACTGTGCTGAGTAGACCTTAGTTACAGTTTCTGGGAGAGAGCGTGGTATCTAGCGGGATCAACAATTTGAAGAATGCCAGTAAGGCCAAAATGAAGATGTGAATAAGAAAGAAAATGAGAAAGGCAGAAATGGAACAAAAGAAAAAAAAGAAAGAACTAAATGAGAAAGGCACAATTGGAAAAAAAAAAGAGAAACTCCAACTTGTGACTTCATGCTAACACAGCCGTCAACGGCCCCCAAAGTTTGGGTCAACCGTGGTATGGTTTTCAGGCACATTTCCAAAGGATTCGCACGCTGGGATCGACCTGATAAATCGACCATGGTGAGATTCGAACCCGGATCTCATGGTCAGAGAGCGGACGTTCTAACCACTCGGCCACGTTCGCAATTACTCGCATATACATCGTCACATTATGATAGTAATATACTCATATACATATGCTCTTAATAAACATTTATTTCGCACTCTTACATCCACAAGACAACGTCATTCCGTAAGCTTCTACCTTGAGTTGTTCTTGGGCCTTATAATGGGTGAACATTTCAAAAAGGAAATGACGTCAATTTGCTTATCTAGCAACTACCGAAGAAGAAAGTGAAGCCGTATACTGATCTATAACTAAAATATCAGTTAATTTTTGTCAGTCGGTTTAGAATTGTTCCATCGTTCATGTTTCCGACTCGTTACGGCCTTCCCAAGTTTCAACTCTGCTAAACAGTCGTTTATAACTGTTTTAAGTGTCTGAGGAGATAAGAAAATGCTTCGCTGAAATAAATAGACGACTTAGTTTTTTTTGTTTTGTTTTTTCTTTTCGGAAACAAGAAGACAAAATGATTTCAAACAAAACTTAGTTATCGCTAAGTGGCAGACCAGCGCCAGTCACAGGCCAGTGGTTTGTAATATGCTCACTTAATGTGATATAGATGGGGAGGCTGTGAATGGAGGGGGATAGTAAGGGGAACGGAAAAGGCGGTACATTATATGAAAGTGATGACGCTGAACAGATAACGTAAAGAAAGAACGAAAGAAAGAAGAGAATGGAATAAGAAAGAAAAAAGAAAGAACGATAAAAAGATGTGAATAAGAAAGAAAGAAAGAAAGAAAATAAGAAAGGCAGAAATGGAAAAAAAGAAAGAAAGAAAGAAAGAAAGAAGAGAAATGGAATAAGAAAGAAAGAAAGAAAAAGAAAGAACGACAAAAAGATGTGAATAAGAAAGAAAGAAAGAAAGAAAGAAAGAAAGAAAGAAAGAAAGAAAGAAAGAAAGAAAGACAGAAAGAAAGAAAATAAGAAAGGTAGAAATGGAACAAAAGAAAGAAAGAAAGAAAGAAAGAAAGGAGAGAAATGGAATAAGAAAGAAAGAAAAAAGAAAGAAAGAAAAAAGAAAGAACGACAAAAAGATGTGAATAAGAAAGAAGAAAGAAAGAAAGAATGATGGGAAATGGAATAAGAAAGAGAAAAAAAGAATGAAAGACAAAATTAAGATGTGATTAAGAAAGAAAATGAGAAAGGCAGAAATGGAACAAAAAAGAAAAAGAAAGAAAGAAAGAGGAGAAATGAAATACGAAAGATAAAAAAAGAAAGAAAGAAAGAAAGAATGGAGATATGAATAAGAAAGAGAGAAAGAAAATGAGAAAGGCAGAAATGGAACAAAAAAAGAAAGAAAGGAAGTCTGAGTGAGAAAAAAAGAAATGAAATTGAACGAAATGTTATTATGGAAGTATAAATGACAGAAGGAACGATGCGAATAATGAAGAAAAGAAAGAAAGAAAAAATAGCAAATGAATAAAAATCCGCGCAAAATCTTAACGTTAAAAAAACACAATGAAAAAAAAAAAGAAAGAAAATGAAAGACGAAAAGAAGTAGTAACAAATTAAAAAGAACAAATAAAGAACTGGAAATAATTAAAAAATATATTAAATGAAAGAAATCGTTCTTGGTTATCTCTGATAGGCATCGCAACATCTATGGGCACTGATTTTGTGGAAATCTGTTTTCAAACAGATTTGTATTCTTTCTGCTGCCTTACCACACCTGCCACACACCCTCACCAATGATCATCATTGCTATCGTTATCCAAAACATTGAATGATGATGGCTCCTTGAGTGAATGACGTGTGCTTGAGAGGATCTTTAGGCGTGTAAGGGGTTGAACATATCCAGAACCACCTTCTTGCCCTCATCTCCAGAATCCAACGACAAGGTGAGAGGTCATGGACAACTGGTAATGCATCGTAATGGGTGACCAGACCAACCATCTCAACACACGTTTCACGGCACCTGTTTGAATTCAGTTTTCCTTCTTCCAAACTGGTTGTCACCCAAGAGAACCCAGTCTATAATTTTGTTAAACCCATAACTGAAGATAGAAAGAGGGAGAAAGGGAGACAAAGAGAGATGGGAGACAAAGAGAAGGAAACAGAGAGAGGGAGAGAAAGAGAGAGGGGAGAGTGAGAGGGAGGAGAGAAAGAAAGACATAGAGTGAAAGAGCGAGGGAGACAAAGAGAGAAGGAGACTAACGGGAGAAAAGATGGAGGGAGAGAAAGAGAGGGAGGGAGAGAAAGTGGGAGGGGGAGAAAAGCGAGAGAGGGGAGAGAAAGAGACAGGGGAGAGAAAGGGAGAGGGGAGAGAGAGGAAGAGAAAGAAAGAGAGAAGAGAAAGAGAGAGAGAGGGGAGAGAAAGAGAGAGGGGGAAATAAAGAGAGAAAGAGAGAGAGGGGGAGAGCGAAAGAGATAGAGAGGAAAAGAAAGTGAGAGAGATGAATTTATGTCTTTTCCAAGGCAATAGTGTGAAAATGAAGCTAACAGACACGGTCAGAATTTGAACTTTGCGTGTCGTTAGCCGCACACCCATACACACACATACACCTAAATAGACACAAGCAGACACACATGCATAAGAGTAGATCGATAAATCCGTAGCTTGAGCCGATCCTTAACCGGATCCTAGTTACAATCGATACGACCCATCATATCGAAGACAGATCTGGGGAACGTGATATACTGCGAAATACCACAGTATCGCGCAATGATGTTGATTAGCAATGGCAGCATAATAATGGCCATGATCCTGCTTGGGCAGTACATTGCCTTACTTTTGAAGGCGTGGAGATACGGGTGCTGTAATGGATAGTGGCTCTGAATGAGAACTCGGAGAACCGAGTTCGAATTCCTGTCGAGTTTGTTACATTCACTTAAATGCAAATACACTTGACAAAGGTATGAATCCATCTCCTCTCCGAGCTACGGGTTAAACAGTAAGACTTATATCTAGAAAAAATCAAAAAATAATATTTGGAAATAATAAAGAAAAATACCGTATATACACCCAGGTGCAAATTAATTGAAACAAAACAAATAATTCTATTACTCTATTTACATTATTCAGACTATTGTCCTCATCTTTGTTGCCATATCTATTACAAATATATCTTTGAAGATCTTCAAAAACAATCAAGTGAAAATCTCAGAATGGTGGCACATGAGACCATCAGTTATTCTAGCTGTAGTTGGAGCCCTTGGATTTATTGTAAAACGTTCTCATAGACTTCAGTATCTGTCTATGTTTCTGAGATATTATGTACACTATTTACATTATTCGGACTATTGTCCTCATCTTTGTTGCCATATTTATCACGTTTCGGTCGTTGTACGCTCCAGCCTTCTTCAGGTGATTGGAATCTCGAACCGAACCCTTTATTTCGCTCACTGGAGTAGGCTGTTCTAGTTCCATGTGCCGTGTCTAATGGGTGTCAGTTATCAGTTATGTCTTGTTAATTACCCTCTACAAGTTCTGCACCGCCTTAACCAGGTATTGAACTCACACTCTTTGGGTCCTGTCACTGGATCTAACCAACGCCTTTATCCACTGTGCCATGTGTCCTTGACATTCCAGCCATCTGAAGAAGGCCGGGGCGTACAACGGCCGAAACGTTGTAATAAATATGGCGACAAAAATGAGAACAATAGTCCGAATATAAATAGTGTACATAATAGCTCATCGAAAAATATAGACAAATTCCGTTATTATTTACTTTTTTCGCTGTTTTTCTAATGAAACATGACCCACTGCACATGTTAGTACTTCGTATGTCTATTCTACGATGTTGTTCCTTGCAGATTTACCACAGATTCCCGATTGCAATTAAACCAGGAGAGTTTCCGGGCCAGTCTATAGTAATTTGATTTGCTCACTGGTAAGACTTGCCAGTGTCTTCGTACCCTTCCTTGGAGTAACGTCCATCGCAGACAATGTCCGTAGAACAACTAATCGACAGTCGAGACAATAGTGTCTGGATGCGATGAAAATCCGATGCAATCACGGATGACGCAATATTTTTCAAGGCCAAACAAATTTCATCATACACAGCGGAAACAGATTCATATTACTGCACACCAATACAAATGAATCTGAGGAAGAAATAAAAATCGATTATACCCTGTCACTCCAGTGGGTCTAAAACTGACCGTATGCTGAAAGAAAGGAAACTAAAGCGATTGTTTCAATTAATTTGCACAAGGGTGTACTCGAACATAATGTGAGATTTTATGAAAATAGCGGGTCGCATTATGCACAGGTATATTTTTTATATTTATTAGGTTAAAAATCATGCATTATAAACAGGTAAACATTTTCTAGAGGGGTTAAAAATCATGCATTTCTAGTGGCCCTAACCTGCCTGGTAGGCCTACATTTTCACGATACCTTTGGTCAACCGTAAATGTACGAGAATTAAGACCATTTATTTGCTATAAATCATGTCCAGGATGATTCCCAGAAATGCCTACCAGCATTACCTCAGAAGCTGGGATCGCATTATACGCAAGTTATATAAAAACACCAGATTTTTTCACACAAAAAATATTCAGGGATCGAACCATACATGAAGCAAGCTTACGCACGAGTATATACATTAATAGGACTTTTACCTGGGAAAATGAAAAACATTGTTAATACAATATTCACTCGCAAAAAAAGAGGCGAGCGAGAGATATAACTTATTATGCCAGGGGTATAATAAGTTATTATGCCAGAGGTATAATAAGTTATTATGCCAGGGGTATAATAAGTTATTATGCCAGGGGTATAATAAGTTATTATGCCAGGGATATAATAACTTATAATGCCAGGGGCATAATAAATTATTATGCCAGGGGTATTTCGTGGACGAATTCACTGTTTAAGGTTTCAAACTCAAGAGCCCATCATCTGTATGAAGTGGAACATGCCCGATCCACAAGGTGTCTTTCTTGCAATACCAATTATGTGGCGTAAGGGAGATCCAGGTGAGAGACACACATATCCGTATTCTGCGTAAATAAGTAATATTTAAATGTCGGCGCTGACACTCCTGGGATTATATGTGCTCTGATCTATGCTATCAACAACCTGCAATCTCGTACTTCTTTTTATTAATAATGTTTCATTAAACTATTTACATTATTCAGACTTTCAGAGGGGAATTAACTGGAGTTAACTGACATCCATTAGACATGGCACGTGGAACTAGAACAGTCTACCCCAATGAGCGAAATAAAGGGTTCAGTTCGGCACTCCAACCGCCTGAAGAAGGCCGGAGCGTACCACGGCCGAAACATTGTGATAAATATTGCGACAAAGATGAGGACAATAGTCCGAATAATGTACATAATGTACATAATACCTCATCTCGGAAATATAGTCAGATGTTTCCAGTACCTTTAGCCTTTTTTATATTCGGTGACGATCGAAAGAAAATCAATGGGAAATGTCTCTAGTTTCTTGTTTTATAACTTTAGACAGTAGATTTAATTCATGTAAGATAAAAAATATTATGAAAAAACAAAGCTTGTTAAATAACATCCAAGATTATTCATAAATCATACAGATCTTGAATTCTAACGTCTTCAGGCAAGAAAAAAAAAGTTTCAAAGATTTTTTTTTAATCAAGCAAAGTAATAACGCAAATAAGTTGCAAGAGGTTACTGGGTGTGAAAAAACATGAGAATAAAACTTATTAAGCATAGGAAATAATAAAACAAGCTTCAGAAGACAGAAGATAACGTTTGACTTGCATTTAAATTTTTAAATATCAATGTTAACTGGAAATCAAGAAGCCGGAAAAAAGTTCTTCAAGCAAGAAGTGAGAGGGAAGAAAATTTTAGCATAGAACTTGCGATTACATCTCGCTATTTCAACTGTAAAATGATGAGAACTAGTTGCCAATCTTGCTTAAATCGTGAAGTCGAGGTACCAAAGAGGGAAGCAATTTCTATGAAAATATTTATAGGAAAGGTACAGGAAGGTGACATTAAGGCGGTGGGAAAGTGACAGTAGCTGAGGTGACAGTTTTAAACCGATGATCTTTTTATATATTGAATGAATTGCTTGGTCGGCTGTTAAGAAAGTTGGTACATTGTATCGTACTAGACAATTTCTCTCGCCAGAATCTATCTTAGACATTTACATGTCTACCATTCGTCCTTGCATTAAATATTGCTGTCACAATTTGGTCTGGTGCTTCTGCTATATATTTCAAGATTCTTGACATGTTCCGAAGAACAATCTAGTATGACATTGTTTTTTTTCTTTTTGGTTTTGGTTTTTTTAGAAAGTGAGTATTGAATATCATTGAATAATTGAGTAATTGAGTTATTAAATAACTGGGGTATTGAATGTTACTGAGTAATTGAATATTGAATGTTGTTGATTAATTGAGTATTAACATTCAGTTACTCAATAAAATATTGAGTGTCTAGTGTTATTGAGCACTAAATATAATTGCGCAATTGAGTGCCAATTATTATTATTGAGTGTTGAGTATCATTGAGTAACTGAGTATTGTATTTTATTGAGTAATTGCGTATCGAATGTTATTGAGTAAATTTGAACTGAATACCATTGAGTAAATTGCGCTTTTAATGTTATTGGGTAATTGAGTATTTTACGCTATTGAGTAATTGAGTACTTAACGTTAATGAATAATTGAGTACCAAATATTATTGAGAAATTAATTACTGAGTAATTGAGTATAGTGAGTAATTGAATATATATCAATTAATACGTTTCTTTACACTGAAAGTAGAAACGTTTTTAATGGAAAAGAGCTTTTGAAAACTTTTTAATTCGACTTATTTTATTCCAATTGTAATTTCTTAACTGTTGCTAATTTTTGTTTCCTTATTTTCTGTTGATATCGGCAGACTTTAGATCTTAATATTCTTCGATTTTGCCCTGTTTATCTTAAGTGACTGGAATGATAAGATTTTCATTTTTATTTAACTTAAAACCTCAAATTGTATTCATATTAATGCATTATCGCATTGTAACAGTTTAATTATGAACGATATGAAACACTTTCTCCCAAATAATCTCAACTTCCTTTCAAATTTTATACACAGATAAAGCATTATCACATTTCTAAATCTTATTAAAATAGTTTAATATTTATTAACCGTATTCTTTTTTATAATTCAAGTATTGATTTAATTAGAATTTTCAAACCATTTCAAGGACTTGTTTCCCTTGCAGATTATTATAGCTCATCTTGAGTTAATTATTATTAACAATATTCGAATTTTAGGTAAATGACCTTCAAAAAGCGCATGTGCGTCCTTGTGGCTGATGAATTGTTTTCCACCTTACCACCTCTTTCCCACAGACGAAAAGCTACAAGCCTCTCTATCTCTATTTCCACGGAAAATGTTCAGATGAGCGACATTCCATTGTGCCCCACCCCGAATCTAACTCTGCCAGCTAAGATCAGCCACACTGCGTACATTGAGAAGAACCACCCTTATTCTATTCGTGTTTCTTTAGTAAGTAGTAAGTTAGCTTCTTGCCAAAAACAACTGTTTTGTGTAAGGGAATCCCACGATGATGCTTTCCCGATAACTACAATCCTAACTTTCTCAAGTCTTACTCTTACTGCTCACGCAACAATCGCCTTCAGTACCTTGATTGGCATTGGATCCTTTATAGGGTGACTATTAGTAAAAAAAATTATATTTAAAACCCATCTTGGCCGTGGTACAGATTGTTCAATCTATCACAGTCTTTTCATATTTCTGTATCCCTTATACCTACA